CAGATTTTAACTTGCAAAAACAGAGTTGAATGCAGTTCAAGAGATCTGATTTCCATACATAAAGTAAGTTGATATATCTATATTAATGTAAAAATATCAAATCTAAATATATTATATATATTATCGATACAAATATGTAAAATATGCTAAATTTATTCACAATTTTCTGAATCAAATAGTATCATATTTGAGTTCGCCACGTTTTACTACATGACTTTCTTCTTAAGCTTCGATTTAATTCTAACCAAATTCCAATTGAGCTTGACCAAGCTCAAGTTTAAGCAACTCCAACTACATAGAGTGAAAGGAGTTTAATTAAATTTGCTGGATGGTAGGTTAAATAAATATCTGCTTAGAGACGAGCAAATTTAAAGATTAAAGAAAATTATCTTTACCAAGGGCAAAGGAGATTATATCAAAAACTTGCGTCTATGTATTAGAGCTGACTTCTTTTGTAATACAGTTCGAGCTAAATCTCGCTTGCCTTCTCTATTCAATCCGTAAAAAACAGTTCGAAAATTAACAGTGCTGGGAACAATCCCACAATCAAACATTTCAGACAAAAGCTTCAAGGCAGCTTCAGATTTTCCTGCCTTACACAAACAGTTGATAAACATAGAATAAGTCTTGAAATCAGGCAAAGTTCCATTCACTTTCATGGCTTCAAAGATATTCCATGCATCTGTAACCTTCCCCATGTTCATGTAGCCGTGGATAAGTGCAGAGTATGTGACAACCGTAGGCTTGCAATCGTCTTGTTTCATTTTATTGAAAGTGTCTAAAGCTTTCTCAATCTGTTTTTCTCTGAAGAAATAAATTATTAGTGAAGTGTAAGCATGGACAGTCGGGTTAATTCCCATTTGCTTCATGGCCTCCACCTTTGCCAATGCCTCTTCTAATTGTCCATTCTGTAGTAATCTGTGAACAAGGCTTCCGTAGGTGTACTGATCCAATCTAAATCTCTCGCTCTCAACCTCGTTTACCACCGATAAAGCTTCTGTCAATCTTCTTGTTCGACAAAGAGCTCTGATGTACATTGAGTATGTTAAGGGAACTGTGAAACCAACCTTTTTCATGAGAAAATCTAAGCAACTTCTGGCTTCTGACAGTTTACCAGTTTCACATAAACAAGCCAGATAAATTTCCAACAATTCTTTGTCCGGAAAGTGCCCTGCACGAATCATCTCCTGAAAAATTTTAATGGCTTCATCTACTTTCCTATGTTTCCTCCCACAGAGGACAATGATCAAGAACTTGTAGGTACTGCCAGTTGTGTTACAACCAGAAGACTTCATCTCTTTGAAAGTCCTCAGTGCTATATCTGTTAGACCTGTTCGACCATATTGCATTATCATGATAGTCCATGTATCTGGTGTTATTAAGTAGCGTCTTCTTCTCATTTCAAAAAACAGGCTTCTCATGTGCTTGAAATCTTTCCCTCTTCCTGAGATTTTGATTGCCATGTTATAGGTTTCCGTAGTGTGCCTATAACCGGCTTGCTTGTCTACCCACGAAAAGAAACGTAAAGCCACGTTACCATGCATGTTACACTTCTGCAGAATCTCGAGAACTAGGTCCGGAGTGAACTGAATTATGGATTTGTTTAATGCTTCTTGAACGGATTCCCAATCTGTTGAAGACCATAATATGTTGCAAATTTCTCTTACTTCCTCTTCACTGTGAGTTCTCAAAGGTGGAACCACCTGCCTCCCCGGCTCTAGCTGGCGATGATTCAACTCAATATGGAGCTTTTCTTCCCTGGATGCATCACCACTAGGTAGCTCAACTCTCTGTGAATGAGAACTACAATTTCTCTGTATTTGCTTTACTTTTTCAAGCTTATCAGTCTCGCCCTTCTTCTCCATCAATGAAATAACCCAGTCAAATATTCCATTTTCAATAACAATCTTGGAAGCCTGCATTTCATAAAGAACCTTGACAACATCTTCGGTCATTGAAACTCTACAAAGCTCCTTAA